GGTGCACCACAATGTGTGACTGCTTTCATTTTTTTTTTGTTATATGTGTTCCCATTCTACTCACCCTCCCAGCACCCACACACAAACAGGACGACCTAGCTATTGAATTTGAAGTTCATAAACAAAATCTACATCGACTTCGGTTGCTCCGTCATCTGGCTTCGACAAGTCCTTCGAGTATGCTGTTGAAGCACTTTCCAGGAGACTGACTGCTACCGAGATGAAGATATTCAATGGTTTTCCTCCTTCTCTCGGAATCTTTCCTAGTCTATATAACTGTGGATTCTGCCAGCACCGAGCTTCATCACACAATAAACGGGCGGCTGCAGACGTCTATATGAGAAATTATGCTGCTGAAGAGTCCCACCCCTCAATTTTCTGGATTTTTTTTTCTCTTCTCCTTGAACCATTCACCATCACAATCAACATCATCAAGTCACGGTAGCACGGTTGGGCTAACAACAAGGGCAACAGCAGGCCCGAATGAAATATAATAATATACATAATAAAATTTAATATCGCATAATATCGTTTATTTTCCTATTGGCTTCACTTGCCTCGGCGTGTGTTTAGTTGGCAGTCCGGTTCGAACGCATTTTCAGGGCTGAACCTTAGGTATGGGTTTCACATTTCTCGGAAATAGCTGGAAATATGAAAAAAAAAACATGCTAATGTGCTATTGGTATTGATTATATAAGGAAAATACCTTGTATTTTACCCTGTGCAGCCAAATAATGATAAGCAGCTTTTATTCAGCATTGCTAGCTGAACAAGACTTTAACCTTAGGTAATTAAAACATAGATTTGCCACTTCGGAAAAGAAACTTGCAACAAAAATGTGGCGCCTGGCTGAGAATGGCGGTCAACGGGTGAACTATTTGTTTCTCCCTGCGCATTCATAACTTTGCACGCTAAGATCAATTTACCCAGATTATACAAAGAAATAATCTTGATTGGCGCAAAGCGAACAAACCCAAATGGTGTTCATATATGATTTATTTTTATGCAAAATTGACCTAAATTTTCCCGTGTTCGTCCAGTTTACGCCCAATTTGTGTAAAATAATCTATATATGGCTTATTTAATCATAGCGTGCAGAATAATTTGTGATTAACGTGCATATCTGCATTTGCGTGAACAAACACTTTGAGTACCGATTTCTGTCTGAAACAGCAGTGATTCATATCTGAAACCAGAATGGGGTTTCGACGGTGCGAGTTTCAAAATTGTTCGAGTGCTACTTCCGGACTATATTCAAAAATGTTTCACAAGGTTCTAGTAAAAAACAGGTATTTCTCTAGCTGTTGTTTTTTTTTTTTGATAAACAATTGAGTGATATTTTCTTTGGTTCCAGCTCAAGAGACTTGCAGAAATGGATTAACGTCTGCGGTGTCACGAAATTTTCGAAGGAATCAGTTATTTGCAGCGATCACTTCCACTCTCACTGATGTCTATTAATTCTAAATAATATACTTGTGGAGTCAATCAAACAATTAAAACACGCGGTTCACTTTTCTTTAACTTTATATTTTCCCGTCCAAACGTGGTGAGGGTTGAGAGACAATTGATTCTCCTTTTTTTCTGACTCACGCTCGTACCTACTTTTCCATTCATACTTCACACACACAACCATATATACCGGAAGTCAGTCGCGTTCACACTCACATTCGCTCGATGCAACAGTGCTGCCAGCGGACCACAAATCACAAAACAACACACATAAATCTAAATACTCAGAATACTACAACTCGGCCATTCCTGACCAATGATCGACTCGATCATCTTATTTAATTATGGGAGACGATTACCCGCGTCTCACTCGGGATTAGTAAACACATAAATACAAACACAAAACTATATACATCCAATCTGACAAGTGTTGCTTTATCCATCAGTGCATCTCATCTTTAGAAGGGGTTCTCCAATCAGCCCAGCTCTTAATTCGAGCAGCTTCAATTATACCATCGTAAGGAAGTTGGGATATTTGACAATTTTCAATATCTCGAACAACGTAACGATCATTTGGCAGTACCCTGTGAATGCGATAAGGCCCTCGATACTTCGGAATGAACTTTTTGTTCGTTCCTATTGTAGTATCAACGTTGCGTATTACAACATATTCCACTTCGGTGAAAGTATTTGGCAATTTATGTCTCTTGACGAATGAAGCGGAATTCTTACTCTGAGAGTCTTCGATATGACGTGAAGCTTTTTCTCGTAATGTAGTTAAATCACGATCTACCTCTAAATTGAGCCTATCATCCAGATATTCAGACAGACTGTCGACCTCCCTCCCTCTCTGACCGACTCCAAACAAGAGGACAGATGGAGTTTGTTGCGTACTCGAATGAATAGAGTTATTGATAGCGTACTCTACCTTGCTTAACATTTTAACCCAATTTGCATGTTGAACTGGTTCAGAAAGTTTTCCCAACATGGATATGATCACCCGGTTAACACGTTCCACTTGTCCATTCGCTTGAGCAGACGCAGTAGCTACCTTTACATGTTCTACATTGTTTTCCAATAAGTAAGCGCCAAATTCCAATGAAGTAAAACACGTACCTCGGTCACTAATAATTCGTCGTGGGCGACTATAACATTCAAAATACTTATCTAAACATGCACACACTTCTTTCGTACTCGTGGAATTGACAGCATACAACTTAACATACTTTGTAAAAGCGTCAACGACAACCAAAATGTGTTTCCTCTTGGAAACAATCGACGGAAGGGGACCAAAGTGGTCTACATGAATAGTATCAAACGGAACAGGTTTCTTCGGAATACTGTGCAGAGCACGACCACCATCGGAATTTGAGTCGGAATACATAATACAGCGGATACAATTCTTAATATGGTTTTCAACCTTGTCTTTCATTTTCGGAAACCAGTAATGCATTTTCAATTGATCTAGAGTCTTCGTAATACCCATATGACACAGCTTCTCATGAACATAGCGGATAATATGACTTTCCATTTCAGCAGGAACATAAAACAAAAGTTTTCCATCAAAGGAAGAGTGATAGACCAGCCCATCATAAAAAATTTTTTTTTAACAGATCCGGTTTCCAGTTCTTCTCTTAACTTAAGAATCAAAGAGTCGCGTCCTTGCGCCAATTGTAATTGAAAGTTAATATCATCTGGACTGATACTGGATACGACCTGATTGGAATTATAGGGAATACGACTTAATGCATCAACATGATTCATAAATTTACCGTTACGATGCTGAATGCTGTAATGATAATTCTCTAGTTCCAATGCCCACCTCGCAATTTTAGCATTAATACTCTTCTTATTTAACGTCATAGCGAGGGAATTACAATCTGTAATAATACGGAATGGAATATCCTCTAGGTAAATTCGGAACTTACGTAAGGAATAAATTATAGCCAACGTTTCCAACTCGAAACTGTGGTACCGAGACTCTGTAGAAGTAGTCCGCTTGGAAAAATATGCAACCGGATGCATCTTACCATCATCTTGTTTTTGCAATAGTATTCCGCCAAAAACCATCGGAACTGGCATCGCAATGTAACTCGGTTTCGCGTGATGGGTTATAAAGGGCCAAAACAGGAGCAGAAATCAACTTATCACGTAACGTAACAAACGCTTTAATGCATTTTTCATCAAATTCAAATTTGGCACCCGGTTTTACCAAATTGCGTAATGGGAGCGAGATAGAAGAAAAGGACGGAACAAATCGACGGAAGTACGAAAAAAGTCCAAGACACTTATTGACCTGTTTAATATCTGTCGGAATTGGCATGCTCTTAATGGCTTCCAAATGCGAATTGTTTGGTCTTATCCCCTTATTACTAACTGCAAAACCTAGAAGTTCGATTTCCGTAAAACAGAACTGACATTTCTTAATTTTGATTTCTAATCGAAAGTCGGCTAATCTCCGGAGAACACACCCTAGTAAAACGAAGTGTTCAGAAATTGTGTTGGTTGCCAGCGTCACGTCATCCATATAAACTACGACAGAACCTTCCTTGATGAACGGATCCAACACCATATTTATAAAACGTTGAAAAACCGCTGGTGCATTGCGTAACCCAAACGGCATTTTGAGGTACTCATACTGTCCACTTGGTGTTACAAATGCAGTGTACGGAATAGAATCAGGGTCCATATTCACTTGATGGAAACCATTTTTCAAGTCTAGTACCGAGAAATATGTTTTCCCTTCAACTCGTTCCAAACAGTCATCAATGAGCGGAATTGGATAACTGTCACGTACAGTTATTTTGTTTAGCGAACGATAATCAACACACATTCTTCGATCACCGGATTTTTTGGTCCTTAAAACAATCGGAAACGAATACGGAGAATTGCTGGGCCGGATGATACCAGCTGCCAATAATTCATCAACAATGCGATCTACCTCCACCTTATCGGAATAGGACAGGCGTCTTGGGCCATAACTGATGGGATTGTCAGACGTCAATCTTAACCTCATTGCATATGAATGTTCTTTTTCCGGAATTCTAGTAGTGTCCAGGTAATTTCCTTTAATAACAGTCAACAACTGTCGTTTGTGATTGGGTTCCAATTTTGGATTGATAGGAAACTCATTATCTAACTCAATGGCATAAATATCTGGAATGAAGGAATCTCCAACAGGGTCATTAAACTGTTCATTACAAAAATAAGACGAACATAAGGGGCAACAGTTGAGAACTCTAGCTCTTCCTTCTTGAAATAAATCATACACACAATGTAACAGGTTATCTGAAATTTGGATTTCATTGTAGTTCATTACTTCAATTTTATACTGGCTTGATCGTGTATTGAATAGGATAATACCAAAAGCCTTCAAAAATTCACGTCCCAACAAAACGGGATGGACCATGACATGATCTGGAACAACATAAAACTTTAACTTCTCGGAATGAGTACCATAAGTGACACGAGCTGGGATGACAGCGTAAGCACACTGGGGAAAATTACCAATGCTACGGAATCCGGAAAACTCCTCATTGGGAGGAATCAATTCACTGGGTACTGCGGATCGCTTCATCCTTATTGCGTGGCGATGGTTTGGGACAGTTCTTGATGATGTGTTCTCTAGAACCACAACGGAAGCAGGATCCTGGCTCTCGGCGAGGCTCTGGACAGCGAGCGGAAACGTGTCCTTTGCCGGAACAATTGTAGCATCGTAATTCGGAATCGGAACCACCCTTAGCCTTCGATTTGTTGCGTGCCGGAACAGATAGAGTATCACGAACGGAACTGGAACGTATTTCACGGAGCTGCGTATATCGTCGGGCTAGTTGTTTCAGTTGCATCATGTGCTTGGCCGGATAGAGGACGGAAATATCGGCGGAACGATCACGGAATCCGTCGACGATCATCTGTACGGTCTGGGCCTCGTCAATGTCTGCACGTGAAGCAATCTCTTGCATCTTGAGGATGTATCCCATAACCGAGGTCTTGCTGTTGATGTACGTAGTTTTCTTGAGCTTGTTGACGATTTCTGCCACCGTGAATGGGTGACCGAAATTTTGTAGAAAATTTGCACGAAATTCGGCGTAAGTGACAGACCGGTCCACACGCAAGAACCATTCTGCCTCTGTGCCCGGCTCCATTAGTCTGCGGATGCATTTCAATCGGAAATCCTCGAACTGAATCACAAGCCCGTTCAAAATCATTCAGCCAACTCTGTGGAACGTAGGAGTCGCTGCCAGCAAACAGTGGAACCAGGCATTTTACATCCTGGAAATCTGGTGGTCGGGCATACAGAAATTCGTTGCTGGCCAGCTCCCGACGCAGGTCTGCGATCTTCTTCTTCTTCTGCAAAATCCAGATTTCTTCATCCAGTGCCTCTTCCGCGTTGTCCTCCTCCTCGTTGTCCTCTTCTTCATTGTACTCCTCCTCGTTTGCAGCGCGATTATCCGGATGGCTGTCATAGAGATCTCGCAGGTGTCTTGAGCCGGAACCTCAATGTCGTGTGTCTGCAACCCTTCCTGAAGCTCTTGCTTGTTCATCCGGTTTTCCATACTCACTTCCACAGGAATCACCGAAAATTCTTCTAAACAGATCGAATCCCACTTCTGAAGTTGTGGAGTCAATCAAACAATTAAAACACGCGGTTCGCTTTTCTTTAACTTTATATTTTCCCGTCCAAACGTGGTGAGCGTTGAGAGACAATTGATTCTCCTTTTTTTCTGACTCACGCTCGTACCTACTTTACCATTCATACTTCACACACACAACCATATATACCGGAAGTCAGTCGCGTTCACACTCACATTCGCTCGATGCAACAGTGCTGCCAGCGGACCACAAATCACAAAACAACACACATAAATCTAAATACTCACCCTGTAGTATGCGTGACGAATTTTTGCAGTAAATGGCATATTTGAGAAAAAATACACCAGTTAGTTATTCTAGCAATGAATTTTTTGCGATTTATTTTCTTTCGCAACATATGGAAGTTGTAAGTAAATTTATTCAAAAACAAATTGCCTTCCCTTTCGACGACTGTAGTTAGACGCTTCCGGAAACTGCAATATGCACATTTTAAAATGTTTCGATCCATAGATGTCATCACTGCCTTGATTTTAGCTTTTAGCGACTTAAGTGTGGTGTGAGGGGTTCTATTGGTATCCCGTTGGACGACGCCCTATACAAAATAATCCAACGGATTGATATCGGGATTGCTTGGGGGCCAAATTTCTTCCTACCAAATTTACGAAATATTTTCCGTAAGCCATTTCTGTGCTTTATTAGCAGTATGAGCAGGTGCTCCGTCTTATCACTTTCCCAAGCCTTTTTTAATATTATACACTGTTCTTTCAGACACATTTACCGACCGAATTATTTCTTTCATGCAGATTGCTCTCTTGTTTCGACATCTTTACGTTTACTCAACATTGTTTGTTTAAATCTTACACCTAACAGTATAAGCTATCCAGTGCTGCCAAATATATCTAAATCATGATGCACAAGCATGAGAAATTACTATTTGAAATTTACTGCAAAAATTCGTCACGCACCCTGTACATGGAATGGTGACAGTTCTAGGACAAAAAAGTTGAAATCGCGCATAACTTTTCATAAAGGTTAATGTACCATTCAAAACTTTTCCAAATGTTTGTAAAATTCATCGGTTGCACCCGTAGAATAGGAATATACATTTGCCCTGAAATTAAAAAAATGAATTGCTCTTGTAAAAAGAAAATAGTGCTCGTAATAAAATCATGCATTATACTTTTCTGTTCTGCTTTCATTCAATGCACACTGAAACTGGGCCAGGAATGCAACCTAGCGGAGCAAAATTAATAACTCCGAAACGAAGCATTTCCGCGACTTGGTGCCTTCGGCAAAGTTTCTCATCATAATAAGGACCATCTATTGACATAAACAAATAGTTCAAAACTCTTCCGCAAAGATGGCGCCACAATCTAACTTCATTCTCTGACATTTTGGAGACATGATGTCTTGGGCATAGTTGTTTATCTTGACAAAATGAACAGCTCCACAGCCTACTGGTTCCAAGTTAAATGGAGTTAAAGAAAAAAATCCTCACAAGAAATTTGACAAATATTATTCTACAAAGGACAAGGCATGTTTTTGCCATGACGTAAACGGCTTGTTTGAAGAGTTTGGTGAGCCATATGATCCAGCTGAATGGCGTTTATTCATCGATAGCAGCAAGTTGAGCTTGAAAGCCGTTTTACTGCATCAAGGGAATGAGAAACCTTCTATTCCATTAGCTCATGCCGTTAATATGAAGGAAACGTATGAATCAATGGCTCTATTGCTCAATTTGATAAATTACAATCAACACAATTGGAAAATTTGTTCCGATCTTAAAGTGGTTGCCATGTTGACTGGATTGCAACAGGGATACACAAAATATATGTGTTTTTTGTGTAAATGGGACAGTTGAGCTCGTAAGGAACACTACGTCCGAAAAGATTGGCCAAAACGGGATAATTTCACAATTGGTAAAGACAACGTTAAAAATGATCCTCTTGTGGTAAAAGAACGCATAATACTTCCACCACTACATATAAAACTTGGGCTATTCAAAAATTTCGTCAAAGCGTTGCAAGAAGAAGGGCCGGCATTCCAGTACTTGAAATCAGTATTTCCAAATTTATCTGACGCAAAGATAAAGGAAGGTGTATTTGTTGGTCCACAGATCAAAAAACTGCTCAATGATTCCGCATTCAATACAGTTTTGACACCAGATGAGGAAGAAGCGTGGAAATCGTTCCAGCGTGTTGTCACAACCTTTTTAGGAAATTTCAGAAGCCCAGATTATGAGGAAGCCGTCGATGAATTGCTCAAAAATTATGAGAAAATAGGTTTAAATCAAAAATATTGTGTTTGTTACTTATAATTAATTTCAAATCCTTTTATTTCACTAAACACAGGTGTGAATATGTCTTTGAAGATACATTTCCTACATTCTCACATGGATTTTTTCCCGGAAAATCTTGGTGACGAGAGTGATGAGCACGGCGAACGTTTTCACCAACAAATGAAGATGATGGAACGTCGTTACCAAGGGTTTTGGGATGAAGCAATGATGGGTGACTATTGTTGGTTTCTGATTCGAGAAACAAGTTCAAAACATCGAAGACAAAGTCATTCGATTCTCAATCATTTTTAATAAAACCTAAATAAATTTCTTTTGTATCAACTCGGTTTTAAATCCTGATATGTCTTAATCAAATTGATATGTAGAGAAAAGAATCTCCCATGAAAACTTTACATGCGATTTGGATGCTTACAACGACACCTAGAAAAGGAACTCTAAAGCTGTTGTATTTCAGCAACATTTTTAAGTGTTTTACAAAAAATTTCATAACTTCGACAATTTCCAACCGATTTCATCCATTAAAGGCTCATTTTCTCCAGTTTTTAATGGACTTTAAGAATAAATTATGGAATGATTTTTTGAATCTTTTTATCCCATTAAAAATGTTGATTAAAACAAGATTTTTATGGAAAATTCGCAGGAAAAATAAAAAAAATGCTGTAAATTTTTAAATGACTTCAAAGTTAAATTTTTATTCAAGACATAATATTCTAGTGAACGATAGCAAATTTATTTAGCTTCATTTTCATAAAAAAAGATTTAAAATTGCTGCACGAGTTCCAAAGATATTGACATTTTAGTAATCGTACTTTTGTCCAAAATTCAAAAAATCAAAATTTTTGTATATCTCAAAAATGGCTCTACTTTAATTTTTTCTGACCACGGCATTGAATTCAGCGTAGGATTTTGCATTAGAAACGTTGGTCAACCACTAAAGTTCACACTTTTTATGTTGTTTTGTAAACTAGTGATATCGCTAGAGTGATGCAAATTTTGAAATTTTCGCTCCACAATACTTAAACGATTCCAAATCGGATCCTGACTAACCTCTCAAAATTTGAACCCATTTGGTGAGAAACTGAGATGGCACAAACCATTTGAAGTTTGTATGGGAATTACTATGGTAAAACCAAGATTTTTGTTCATGTCTACCTAATAATTCACCATATAAGTCTGCTTCAAAAAATTTCAACTGTGCTTGTAGGAAATTTTCCCAGCTACAACTTTGCTGACGACCACATTTTGATTAAATGCAAGGATCGAAAGTTATCAATGATTCAATGCGCTGATGTCTTATGATCATGCTCAATCAACTGCTCAGCAGGCAACATTGGTGTTTCTGGGGCGTTGAATAGGACACAAAAATCATGGCTACTATGTCACACTGCAAAATGCAGTGTTGCCTACAGAGCAGCTGCTTGATCATGTCATAAGTTTACCAACCTCTTAAATAATTAATCACTTTTTCCTGTCTCGTTTTACATAGAAACGGTCTCCAGCAAAGTTGTAGCTGAGAAAATTGTTTATAAGAATGGCTATCGAACTGTTTCGTAGCTCAATATGGAAAAAGACTAGAAGGCAATGAACAGAAAGTTGAGATTTCCCATAGTAATTTACAAGTAAACTTCAAATGGCTTGTGCGAAGTCTGTTTCTAACCAAATGAGTTGTAACTTTGGGAGGCTAATCAGGACCCGATTTGAAACCATTTAAGCACTGTGGAGCGAAAAAGTCAAATTTTGCATCAGTCTAATATATCGCCTATGTGAGGTCAATACTGGAATATTGCAGCATTGTATGGTCTCCTTTTTCAATCACGCACTAAGAAAGATTAGAATCAGTACAAAAACAATTTCTATTATACGCTCTTCGTAAATTAGGTTAGACATCATTTCCTCTTCCATCATATGAAGCACGCTGCATGCTTATAAACATACAAACATTAAAAGAGCGTCGTGAATATGCAATGGTTTCATTTGTAAACGATATCGTTTCGCAGCGCATTGACTCCACAGAACTTTTATCAAAATTAAATTTCCATGCACCCACTCGGCAACTCCGAAATCGAAATGTATTTGCCATAAAACATCATCGCACAAATATGGGCCATTAAACCGGATGATGGCCTCTTACAATCAATACTGCGAAACCATTGTCTTTACAATGTCTCGGCATAAATTAAAACAATATTTTTACTCCATAAGGCATTATAACTCATAAAAAATAGGAAAGCTGACACTGCTTAATTTTTATTAAAGAAAAAAAAATATACTTTTAACCTTTTGTCCAAAGTTGACGAAATAAATAAATAAATTTAAGAAAACAAAACTGTATTCGAATATGTACTAGTCTACGTTGGTTGACGAAATAAATAAATAAATAAATAAAATAAATATTGTTTCGATCCAATAAGATACGTGTTCATGGCAGATCGATTAGTTGAAGTGGAGGCGGAAAACTTAAAACTAAAACGAGAACTTCGAAAGAACAAACAATCTGCGAGCAAGAAGAATGCCCTCATTCACTAACTACGGTTGGAATTGAAGAAAGTTAAGGATAAATTAACCGC